CAAATGTTAATTTCTTCTAACAACTTGGACGTCATAAACTATTTTCTATGACATTCAACGTATTAGAAAAGAATTAATTAAATATCATATACTCGCTTTTTAAAAGCACTTAATCTTTATTCAATTCGTAGATTTTATGATTTTCTTTTTATTTAATTTTAATGGAAATTTTTTCACATTGAAGATTGGAATAATAAGCAATAATAAGCTGAACTTTAAGACATAAATGTATATTTGCGCTAAACCATAAAATTTACTATATCTTCAAGTGTAATTTATCGTATATTATAGAAGTATAATTGATCAAAGCTCCTACATAGAAGCTGCGATGCAATATTGAGTAGTTGACGATTCATCAAAATATTTCTTATATCTTTATAGTATTTTTTTATCGGTATAAATGTCATTCAACATTATTCATGGACATTTTATCTTTATTTCTAATCATCGGCATTTCCATAAAAATTCATTTATTTCATAAGAAGAAAGAAACGAAAACTTAAATAAAAGTTATTATGAACTTGTACTTCAATATTTACGCTTACAATATACAAGCTTGTTATTTTCCAAAAATCATGAGAATGAAAATAATTATTTAACAATTAATTAACAATGCACTTGCGGCTATTAATCTGACTACTCTAATTAGTTTGAAAGTTATTTTATATAATATAAGACAAGCAACAATAGTTTGATATAGATTTTTAAAATTTTAAGAAACATTAATAATTCTTGTATTATTAAAATTTTAATTTTAATATATTACTATAATTGCAAGCATATTGAATATATATTTTTATGAAAAAATTAGAATACATCAACTGGTTCCCCCCTCCCCCCTCCCCCCTCCCCCAATAACAACGTATATAATTTGCAACATTATTTCTTGGTAATTAAGATATTTATGTAACATATAAATGTAAAATTACTGCAATACATTACGTTTCCGTTTATATCTATTCATTTATTGTAAATAATTGTAAAAAATGTAGAGGTTAAATATTTATTATAGCATTAAGATAGGAGTTTTTATAATATTATTGTGATTAAATGAAAATTGTAAAATTTCGATGTATTTATCAAAGAAATAATACCTTATGTGCCTAGTAAAAAATAAGTATACGGATGTAACTATAGATTTAATAAATTCTTGTAAATTAATTTTCATAAGCTCGTGCTCCTATCCTTTTTACCTTATCAATACTTAAGTATCCGATAATAATGAACTTGGAAATTCACGTCTATTTATATTATGATACAAATTTTTACAATATTTGCAAGTTTCTCTTTAATGAAGGGTAAGATTGAAAAAAAAGTGCATTTATGTTATATAAATCTTGTTGCAGCATAAATAATTTTATATATGCGTTTGTAAGAATTACACATGTATTTATAGATACGAAAAAGTAAGCTATACCGAAGAGAGAAAATTTTGTCAGAATAAATAAGATAAAATAAATACGTTTACATAAGGAATAATTTTAGCGAGATTAATACGGCCATAATCCCTATCTACACAAATATCGATCAATTGTAAGAAATTTCATCAAAATTCACGTTTCTGCTTCAATAATTGATATTAACTTCGATTTAGACGTTCGATTTAACTTCTTTTCAAACTTAATATTACAAAGTAGTCGCGCAGAAATATTGTCCAATGTTGTCGAGTTTCATTTGGTGGTGAGTTGAGCAACACCTTCGCTTCGTTATATTGCAAATCAACATAACGGTTAATAATATACATTCTAAAGCACCACATTATGATTTCCCGTTTGAGATTGGTTGCTCAATAAAAATTTGTAGTGTGAGACATGGACATTTTAATACTTGAGTAAAATACTGGAAACGTGGATTAATAAATGAGAGGACTGATAGAAGCGATAAAAACATTACTCATCCAAGGTCTACTGACTTTTACGTAAACGATAAGTTAATTTTAACAAAATTAAACATTTAACTTTAACTATTCTGTTAATCTTAATTATCAAGATAAACGAGGCAATATATGCGTGCGCGTGTGTGTAATTTTTGTTCTATCGAACATCCCTTAATATCGTCGTCTGACACTAGCAGAGCATACGTAAATTTAATCAATATACTTGCAGATTACATTGGCGCAAAATTGAATAATAAATCGATGACTTTAAGCGTATACGAGTATTTGAATTATTTATATGGTGCACAAGTCCAAAAAGTTAAAGATAAATATTTCGTATAAATTTTTCTATCTAAATCATTTGGCGGGCGGGGGGGGGGGGGGGAGACAGGGACCAAATATACGTAAAAGCAAGTTGACAAGTAAAAACAGTTAGAATCGAATTATTCGCTAGATTTTATAAAACACATTAAAGTTTATGCGAATCTTTCCGATTGCTAAATCGTATCCAATAGAATTATCAAAAAAGTTAAGCGGTATGCCTGTCAATTATTAAATTTTAAAAGCACCAATCGTCGATGCAATGTTGCTGGGATAAAATAATTACGATAAAAGTAAATAGAAAAATGTAAATAGAAATCGAAGCTTGGTATAAATTTTACATAATTTTTTTATTAATTTAGTATTTTCGATTCTTTGTAGGAAGCGCTATTAGCAGTAGAATTATTAATATAATTACACTTGCTCGTTCCTATCGAACGTCGTTTTTATAAATTTTCTTTTTATATTCTTTTATTTTTTATTATTATTAGAAAGAACATTCTCCATTCGTTTAACTTCATTCTGTTAAATTGTATTTCAAATGGCAATTCCTCCATTGGTTATTGCGGCATGTATTTTAACAAATTTTATGAATTGCATCTCGTACTATAAACTATAAAGTGCTCGATATTAAATAAGCATAATTTCAAATCAAGGTCTACAACTTATGAAAAAACAGACGCGCACTTCAATAATACGGAAATCATTGATGACAATTTTAGCGGCCAATTTTTTTTTTTTTTTTTAACATATCGACTTTCACGTCATTCGCAACGAGCAACAATGCCAAAGTAATCAGAAATTTCATAACTCTTTCTTTCTCACTCGGGAATGCCCCGAATTTCCATCTCCGTTTCTCTCACTGCACTAACGGCCATAAAGTCTCATATGTTAATAGAACTTTATAGTCAACGCATTACAATTCAATCGTTAATTTTACGCGTTCTAAACATTCTACTTAATCGTTTCAAATTTTCATGACGAATATTTAATTATTGTTTTAAGATTGTGTATTCCGTTATGGGCATCTAGGACATTATTTATGAAATACCTTAAACTTTTCGCCAACTGTGAAATTACTTTACTTGCAATAAGAAAAGAGACATAGTTAGCAAACTCATACATAATAAGCAATTTCAATCTATGAAATCCTACAATTTCTATTATGTAATGTAATCTAAAGCTACGCGTCAAATAAAAAAAAAAAACTACGTGTCAAATATGAAACGATATGGCAAGAAACGAATGTTCCACCGTGACATTATTATAAATACTTTTATTATTATTATTATTAACACCCCCCCCCCCCCCTCCCCTCCTACGCCCGCGTCACTAGAGATACTTGTGCGAGTGGATTATCGTATTTGCTTTACAAAAGAGAACGTCGTATCGGCGATAAAAATGAAATATACAGTTATTTAGAAATATTTATCGGGATTGTTAATGATGCTTTACGGAAAATCATAAAATACTTCAATTGCTCGAAACTAACGATACTTGTCGGAGGCGATAATTATTGTTAAGTCGAAAGTCCAGACTTTCTTCTAATGTCAGAGTGAGAAGGGAGAATTATTGGGAAGCCCGTCGATCAATTAAACTCCCTCGGAGTCGTCGTTTCTCCAAACACTCCCAGCTCCTTAAAAACTCCCACTTCGGTCCAAGACATTGAATTAAATAAGCCTCGATACTGTCCGTCCCGCTGCGCTTTAAGCAAAAAACAAAAACAAAACAAAACAAAAAGCTTATCGCAAACGATCGCGCTGTACCCGCTCGACGTAGCAAGTCACGTGCATTGAAATCAGTACTTATGGTGCGTGCGATCGATTCTATTCCACATCTCCTCGATCATTGACATCGATAAATTGAAAAGTGGTCCGGAAAACGGGCAGAAAGTGCGAGTCTCCGAGCCAAGGACAGAGACAGGCATATGAAAAAGCAAGGCGCAAGGGAAGCTTAGACATCGACCGAAAAGAAAAGCGTTGGCCTTCTATTTTCTCCCTCTCCCTCCATTCAACCTGTTTATGAATTCACGCGCACGCGTATTTCTCCAAATACGCAATACTTATTTCACATCAGGCGCGAACGAAGTAAGGCGTACGTGGTTCAGTATTTAACGACTTATCCCCTCGTGTGAAATATGAAGAGTCGGCATCGAGGCGAACATCGAGGTGCGGACGCGCGTGCATGCTCGCGAAAACAGCGACCTTCCTTCCTTCGGCTGCAGGGACGGGCCCAACGTTAAATAGTGAGAGAGAGAGAGAGAGAGAGAGAGAGAGAGAGAGCGATCGATCGAGTCCGGCGGTACTACTAGGCATGGTGGAAAAGGTAGGTGACACTGGATTGGGGCAGTGGCAGGGGGACGATACCGGGAGACTAGGCGATGGGACATCGGACCGATCGGGGAATCGCGCACCGGCGCATACTAGTGACCGGAGGAGCGACGCGTACTCGGGCGAGAAGAAGGCGCCCGCGCATCGGATCTTTTTGTCGCGATGAGAGGCACCGATTGTGGATGTGATAAAATGACCACATAATATATTCCATGAACTCGATAGGCTCGATCGAGGTAGAGCACGTGACGGATAAAGAGGCGACGAGCTGCAACGCGAAGTCGAACACGAGCCAAGGCATAGCCGCTGCCGCTGCTGCTGCTGCTGCTGCTGCTGCTGCTGCCGCCGCCGCCGCCGCCTCCGCCGCGGCCTCCGCCGCTGCCGCTACAGCCGCTGCCTCCGTCGTCGTCGTCGTTGAGGAGGAGGAGGAGGAGGAGGAGGAAGAGGTGGAGGTGGAGGTGGAGGTGGAGGAGGACGACCGAGAGGCGGCCCCCCAAGTCGCGATATCCAACTTGGACCAGCGGCGCGGGAGAAAACGCAAGATGTGCGACAAGATTTGGTGTCGCTCGCAAAACAGCGTCGTTCAGCCTCTGCTCACGGGTAATTAAGAGCCGGATTATTTATTTATTGCCGTTTATCGTTTATTTGAACATGTAGCGAGAAGCGCCCCAAGAGGACAAGGAGCGATAGGGCGTTCTAACCTTAATCGTGGAAAGGCTGACTTATCCGACTGTGTACTTCGTATGGCTTAAAGAGATTGGTGTTGTTGGTGTGTAAAGCGGATTTCATCCGATCTGCGGACTCTGGATGACATTTATAAGACCAAGATGATTTGTAAGATTCGCGGGGGTTAGCAATGAAATAATGTAATGATTAAATATTTGTATTGAGTCGTGGGTAGCTCGTAATTAATAGCGTATTATTCGCAAATTTTAAATCTGGTTTTACATCGGCCTCATATTATTAACGAGTGCGCGCTCCTTTTTGTAAATGGAATATTCCGATTATTTTACCGGGATTCGCATGCTTTTTGACAATTCCAATCCACTTTCATTCACGGAATTTACAAAATATTAAACTTTTCGCAGATTTATATCAAATCACGATGGCCTATGCGTATTGGAAAAACGGAAAAATGAAAGATTATGCAGTATTTGATCTATTTTTTCGAAAAAATCCATTCCACGGAGAATTTACGATATTCGCTGGATTAGAGGAATGTTTAAAATTTCTGGATAAATTTCATTACTCAAATAGTGGTAAGTTGATGTTCAATGATTTTTTAAATTCGTATTCTATTTACGCACACACACGCACGCACACACGCACACATGTATATATATATATATATATATATGTATATGCTGCGTTTGTGTGAAAATATATGAATATGTAAATATTTATGCATGGAAGCTTGTGTGCGCGGCCGCCCGCGTCTGTGTATGAAAATTGTTAATATATATAATAAATTTTTATAGTTCAACTATAAAAATAATAGGATTCATTTTATTATTACTATTATATCAATTATATAATTTAATGTTTTCAAAAACACCATAATAAAGTTGATGAATATGTGATTTATAAAATACATTTTTGCAAACCTCAAATTAATTGTCAGCTTTGGCCTAAGAGTTCAGTCGATAAGGATACATAATTTATAATAACATGAAATATGTATTATCAAAGCCTTTGGGGAGTAAAGAAAGTGACCGTTAAATAAAATATTGATTTACAAATATATTATTCATAGTTTCACACAATTTAACAGTAAAGGATCGTTAATGAATTATAAAATTATAAATTAATCCACTCTTATAGATATCGAGTATCTGAAATCTACAATGCCAGCATCCGTTGAACCAGAATTTTTTAATTTTTTACAAAATACAACTGCAAAAGATGTTACTTTGTATGCCATTGAAGAAGGATCTGTGGTATTTCCAAGGTATTTATTGCAACTTTGTACTGTTTCAACAATTTATAATTAATTAGAACAGTCTCGATTGATTTGATATGAAATAATGGCCTAGCATGTATTATTAAAAGAAATAATGTTTTTTTTTCTATTTATTTCAGAGTACCACTATTAAGGGTTGAAGGACCTTTAATAATGGTACAGCTTTTGGAAACCACACTGTTAAATTTGATAAATTATGCCAGTTTAATGGCAACAAATGCAGCGAGGTATCGCATGGTTGCTGGAAAGGCGGTATCACTACTTGAGTTTGGTTTGCGAAGAGCACAAGGGCCAGACGGAGGTCTTAGAGCTTCTAAATATAGTTATATCGGTGGGTGTATAAGTAACAAAGTGCTCTTAATAATTTCATATTTACACATTCATGATCGTGAAGTGAAAATTATTATCCTCGGCGCGATAGTCGTTGAGAAATCAATACTAAATGGTTCTAGTTCGTACCAGGTGATAAATAGCAAGTAATAAATGTACGTGCACGCGCTCGTATGAAAAATTACCAAGTTAGAAGGTCGCATTGCAAATCAACCCTCTAAAGGCCACTTGTCAGTGAGAATCGTCAAAACCTATGTATAATTATATAATTTAGTCAGACTGAGGATAATAATTTTTAACGGCTAGCTATATCAATGTCATAACTATATATTTTATATGTAACTAATGAAATCGATTTCTGCGTAGGTGGCTTTGATGGGACTAGTAATGTTTTAGCTGGCAAATTATTTCACATACCAGTAAACGGTACTCATGCTCATGCCTATATTACTTCTTATACTAGTTTTAGCGATTTACAAATCAAGGTTTGTTTGTTACAAATAGTTATACTTATTTATAATTTATTAACGTGGCCTTAAAAATAATTGGTATTTGATTTATATTTTACTGATTTACTTTTATTAATCTTTTATATTTTTCGTTAAATTGTTAAAGTCTTATTTCCTTAAATAAATATCTTAAATAAATTTAATTATATTTGATTGTTTAAGTTTTTTCTTATTTATATTCAAATACAGTAAACATTTTATTATAAATTTCTTATGAAGAAATGTTTACATTTGATCTTGAATATGAAATAATCAAGCTACATTAAAAACTATTGCATTTTATATGTAAATATTATTTATTATTTGCTATATATATATATATATATGTGTGTGTGTGTGTGTGTGTGTGTGTGTGCGCGAGCATGTCTGTTTTAGTCTTATAATTTGAAATTTTTAGACGCTGATTCATAAACATACTGGAGAACAACAAGATCTTTTAGAATTATCTTGTCAATATCGCATTAATATAGCTGCAGACCTTGGTGCAATGGTATCGGAAGCTTCTGATGGAGAGCTTGCAGCCCTTGTGAGCTATGCGATTGCTTTCCCGGATGGATTTATGGCCTTGGTCGATACCTACGATGTAAAAAGGTATATATTTAATAATTTTGTTTTGTGTATTGATAATTTTGTTTCATTTTAGAAGAAAAGTTACAGTTCGTTCTACATCGTTGCCCGAACTTCATTTTCTTATAATACATTGTATTAAAATTATATTTCACGTCAAGCTGCAATTATTTTAAAGATAAAGCCTAAAATGCTACTTTCACTACCTTTTATCTTTTCGACTTTTTCTTTTCCAATAATACAGACATTCATAAATACGTACATACATAAATATATATATATATATATATATATATATATATATATATATATATATATTTATATATATTATAGTAATAAGCAAAAATTACGCTAATTTTGTATCCAATTAATAGTGAGAATAGTGACTTCATTATCAAGAGCATTTAAGAGCTTTTTGCGTGACGTGTATGTAATAGAAAGCCTAACAAGAATGTGTTTATAGTGTAGAAGCATCGGCCAAACAACAAGCAAATGTAACCGGCCGAAATCTAACGAATAAGCTTCTTACTAACGGGAGCAATAAGTCACCCCGTAATGGTGCGAAAAACAGTCCAATTATATCTGATGAACCAACTTGGTCTCCCAAGGGTGGCTTGTTAAGACACGGTGAATTGGGTGAGCTCTTCGTAAGGTACGGTTACGTGTATCCCTCTTACTTTATCTCACGTGAGAATTCCTTAGATACAATCTAGCATCACAAATATAATTCACACGACTTTATTTGTTGATTCAAACGAAATAAAAATATATTCTCTCGTGAGATAAGGCAAAGGTTCACTCATGAAACATTAAACCATCCAATAGCGTAAAGCATGAAAAGAAAAAAAGAACGAGAGATTTTTATTTCAGAATATAACTTTAGAACTATTGCCAATTAGAAACTTGTGAAATGTATACAAATGTAAATTGAATTTATATTTCTTTAAATTATAACTAATTGTAAAATTAAGTTGTTAAAAAAGTATTTATCATATAATTGTGACTCTTTACATAGTTGAAAATTTTATAATAAACGAGTCAATCATTTATTCTAATTTTATTATATCATTGTGGAATAGAATATTTAATTATTCACGTTCTGAAGCATAATTTATAGTTCTAAATTTTATACACTTAAATAATTACGACTTTCTTTACCCAAAGTGAAATTATTTTGGGATAAAATAATTTGTTAAACTAATATAGATTTATCTCCTTTCTAAAACAATCGACCTTATGCAGTGCATTTCCCAATTCAACGTCACGTTTCAAACAAAACTTAGCAAATTGGTTCTTCGCACAAAATATTCGTCCTTGTTGGGTTGTATTTTGCTCTTCACGATTTTTTATTAATTGTTATTTAATACTTTCGGGAAATTTTGTATATCCATCAATAACAGTATGTTCACAACTCATATTAGATATTTAATGATTGAAAGTTGAAAAGAAAATTCTATAAAGTACAGTATTTAAGTTGGACAATTGGTTTTCGTTTTTGCAGAAGTGGTTTATTGAATTTCTGTGCAGTTGCTCTGGCCTTAAATGATCTAGGTTATAAAGCAGTTGGCATTCGCATTGACAGTGGAGACTTAGCCTATCTTAGTCAAGTAGCCAGAGAGATTTTTCAAAGGATTGCAAAGAGGTTTGAATTATCTTGGTTTGCTAAGCTTACAATTGTAGCATCCAACGACATTAATGAAGAAACTATAGTGAGCTTAAACGAACAGGTGATTAAAGATTCAATATATAAATAATTATTTGGTTTCGTAGATTTAAATTTTCTTGTTGTTGCTGTCATTGAGCTTGTGATATTATCTATAGTCATTTTTTTATACAAAAAGTGTATGCGCACTATTTATATTACTTGTATAAATACAAATTGTATTTGTTAGCCCTTCGAATGCGATTACAAATTTTAAACAATATTGATCCTTCGTTTATAAATATTCTTCGTATGAATAATATTTATATTTTATAATTTTTGTTGCAGAATCATAGAATAGATTGTTTTGGTATTGGCACACATTTAGTAACATGTCAAAAACAGCCGGCGCTAGGCTGTGTTTATAAATTAGTTGAAATAAATGGTCAACCGAGAATAAAATTAAGTCAAGAAGTTGGAAAGGTTACAATGCCTGGCAGAAAAACTGCCTACAGATTGTACGGAATGGATGGACACGCTTTAATAGATCTTCTTCAAAGGGTAGACGAAGAACCCCCTCGAGTTGGCGAAAAAGTACTTTGCAGGCATCCATTTGAAGAATCAAAAAGAGCTTATGTTATTCCAACAAGAGTTGAATTTCTGCACAAGGTAAATTGCACTTCCCTTAGTCAATTTTATAATTAAAAATTACTATAGAATTAATGCAGCATTATAAAAAGTGTAATTTTCACCTGAAAATAGTTTGAAATATAAGCAAATATATTATTAATTAATTATTCTTGTATTTGTGAACTGAAGTTAATTTAAAATTTTTTTTATAAAATATATATATATTCCTTTTCAATTATTGCCAATTAATAATATTGCAACAAAAATTTTTTTTTATTTCAATAACATTTAAAGAATAATTATATTTCGTGATAAAATTTATCACTTTATTTTGTTTGTTTGTTTGTAATGATTATAACTTATTTTTAAGTCAAAATATAAATGTAAACGAATAATAATATTGATTGAAAACCAATATTTTTAATTAAATTAGTTTTAAAAAATGAATTAATAGTAGTAAATTTTGTGTCATATTGTTAGATGTATTGGAAAGATGGACAAATTCTGCAAAAGTTACCTACTCTTGTAGAAACTCGAAATCGAGTACAAGAATCTCTGGGCACATTACGTAATGATATTAAACGAAATCTTAATCCAACACCTTATAAGGTAATTGTCAATATAAAAAATTGATCAAACGTATATTTGTATACAAAATATTTATTATTTACAGGTATCTGTTAGTGATGACTTATATAATTTTATACACGATTTATGGCTTCAAAATGCTCCAATTGGAGAATTATCCTGAAGTGAGAATTTTAATAATCAAAGGATTAGATATATATATACTTATAATTGTACAAATATAAAAATTGTTTGTTAATTCCTAGTTTGATAAGATGGTATATAATAGACATTTCCATGTACAACAGATTTAAACAATAAGAATAGAGACAACTACAAAAAATATTTTCGCACACCGGGGCCTTACAATCTAAAACTGAAAATTATTATAAAAGATTGAATTAATACAATATAAGTGGTCTAGAGATTTTAAAAGTAATTTAGAAGAGTTAAAAAAACAGTATTCAATTAATATTGAAAATGAAATAAAACATTATTTTTTTATGTAAAAGAAGTAATAACAGATTTCAAATAATTTAAAAGATGAATTTACATATGAAAAGCATAATAACCAAGGTTATACTACTTTAATATCTTGTTAAAAATGCATATAAATTGTTAAATATTTAAGATAGAATTAAGACGTAGCAATAATACGTAGAATTAAGCATGTAGCATTGAAAAATGATTATTCCTCATTCATATCCTAGAATAAGCAAAATCTCAGGTAGTTTAATAATAGAGGATATGAAAGAAAACATATTTATGTAATATATGCTAAAGTTGATTTTTTTTTTCATTTTTGTTATTTTTAATTTATTGTTAAGTTTTTTTGTTATTGGACTTGCACATTCCTTTCATTAAATATTGTAAAGTACTTAAAGCAAAGATGTAAAGATGTGCAGTCAACATATTTAGTTATATAATACACTATAATTTATTATATGATTATAGTAAATCAAAAGTACATTTTAAATAGTTTCATCATATTATTTTAAAAAGAGGTATCGCAATGAAATTATCTGTAAAAATTTTTTAAATATTTTAATTTATCACATTGTATTGTAATGCTACTGAAGGTGTGAATATTTTAGGAGGAAAATTATATTACATATATTTTTAATAATAATAATAACAATATATACGATCAAAACAAATTTATATTATAAATTAATAATCAAAAAGAATTGCAAAAAATTTAATTTTATAAATATGTGTTTACACAAAATATTTAGAATTAAGATGTATCTTATATTATATATATATATATATATATAGCTTTATTTAGCATGCGGCTTTTTCTTCATTTTTACTATAAACAGAAATCTGCTTATAGAAGTTACTTTAAGCGTCTAATATTATACTATATATGTATATATATATATATATATATATATATATATATATATATATATATATGTATATGTATATATATTGACTATGATATACTTTGAATAAAATAGATTATAAAAAAAATTGTGATATTTTATTTATCTTAAATATTTTTGAAAAGTTAATTAAATAAAATAAGAATGCTATAAATCCATTATCTGAATCATAAAATTATTTTTCATTTTCAGTGATACACAAACATATATTTGAAAGTAATTAGTATATTTTGTCGATATACATTATTGCATAGAATATTTTTTTCACTTTTCTTTTCACAAAGTTATAATAATTAAATCTTATTCATAGCTTTACATTTTTTATATCAATTAATTAAATTGATTTAGTCAAATATTAATAATAAAATTCCATATAAAAATATAATTATATCTTAATTTTCATTATTTGAATATATTACAAAATTTATCATCCCGTCATGTTTATATCTAAATATAAAATTATATCTTTAGGTCTGAGAGAATCAATGGTTAATCAAATATGCAATATATGAATAAAACTTTTACAAATTATTTATAATTTTAGTATTATTGTTTTAATAAAGACTCATGATAAGTGTAATAATTTATAAATATCCAATAGTTTTCCATCCAAGTATTTTAAGCAGCTATTCATTAATAATTATATTAATTTATTGACTCTGCTATTATTTGAAAAAGATACCGTTTTTAATTATAATTACAATATTATTAATTTTTATTAAAATACTTATTAATATAATAAATCATTATAAACTTATTACTTTATTTATTACTTTGGTACAACAAAGTTAAGAAATTAATTTTCTTCATATATATATATATATATATATATATATATATATATATATATGAAATAAGTTCGAGAACTTATTAAAAAAAATATCATTGATACTTGGACAATTATAATACCTTAACGTTTTGTTGTACGACAAACAATTCATATATGAATAGTCAAATATATTTTAATGGTATGACGATACTAATGCCATCTTTCGTCTTGCTAGTGAGTCACCAATAATAATTACGTTTAACGTTAAAATCTTTTAGTTCTGAAAGCTGAGCCTTCAGATAATTAAGGAATAGCTTAGACGTTTATTTGGCATTAATATTAATGTATAAGCAACTATCAATTATTGTCTTTAAGAAATAAAATAGTAGTATTTCAACATTCCTTAAATTTAATTTTTTGTTACGTTCATTTTCTTCGACTATTATCATCGAAAAGTCAGGTAAATAAACAACGCTATTCGGCATCTTGTGTTTGTAACCTCACATTTCGGCATTCTTTATCGCTTCCTTGGAGAATGGAACAATTTTTTCTACCCAAAGTATTAGTTTTTCCAAACAATTGAAGTTAATATAATATTATTCTATTATATGTCTATACATATATATGTTTATATCTATATACATATATATATATATATATATATATATATATATGCATATATATGTGCATATATATGTGCATACACATTTGCATATATATAAATATATATATTCATATATATTACCGAAAGTAGATTCAAGCTTTTTAGCGTACTATTTATAATCTATGCTTTATTTTATAATTTTATGTATTTAAAACTTTAAATTTGTTAATATTTTAATTTCCAAGAGGAACTTCTGACATATCTTCATTAGCACTGATGTTTTACAGAATTTTAAAATTTTGTTAAATTTGCAAAAAGAAAATTAGTGTAATATAGTTACATTAAAGTAGTATAGTTTTAACAAAGGTACTTATTTATTATAATTTCAGATATAGTTAATAGAATAATGGCTGCACGACTTTTAAAAGATCCAGCTACTGCTGGAAGTAGAATATTTATAGGTCATCTACAAACAGAAGATATGAATCGCAATGAATTGGAAGAGCATTTTTCAAAGTACGGAACTATAGTTGGTTCATTATTAAACAGAGGTTTTGGTTTTGTACAATTTGAAGACGAACAGTCTGCACAAAATGCCATAAAAAATGAAAATGGTGCAATGTTTAAAGGAAGAAGAATAGGTAAATAATTAGCTTAAAGTATGAAAATAAGTAATCATTATTAAAGTAATTTTATTTTGCCGTCTTGTTTTTACAAGTTGTTTGTATTTCATGAATTGTAAATGTTTTTGTGCATCTATCTTAAATATTGATTTTGTATATTCAGATTTTGTTGATTTATTATTATTAGAATCTTTTGTTTATATTTTGGTACATTAAATATTCATTGAAATATAAAATGTGAGTTAATTATGAATATTTAAAAAATTATTGTAATAATATTAACTTTTATCGGATTATAAAATTAATATTTTACTTCAAAATTTAAGTATTAAACTACAAACAAAATTTTATTATGCTGTAAATTTATTTTAACAGATGTAAAGCCAGCTAAAAAAGAAAATTCAGGTAATTCAATGGGAGGATTTGGAAACGATTCTTTTAATAATAGTTATGGTAATCAGAATTTTAATAATTCCAACTCACCATTTGGTAATGATAATCAATTTAGCAGAGGAGGAAATAGTGGAAATAATTGTTTTAACGATCAAGAAGATATATTTTGCAGTAGAAATAATAATGATTCGTTCAATTCAAATAAAGGAAATGGCCCACCATTTGGTGGGAATCGATCGGGTGGAGGATCTGGAAATTCTAACATGAATAGAAATCAAAACAATAATCAGTGTGGTTCGAATCAGGGTGGCTCAAATCAAATGGGTGGACCTGGAAATCGGAATAGAGGATCTAGAGGTGGTAAAAATCGAAAAAGAGATAGCTCTATAGGTGATCGAATGGGTGGGGGCATGGACGATCGGATGGGAGATCACTGTTATGGAGATCGTATGGGCGGAGGTATGGGAGATCGCATGGGAGGACGTATGGGAGACCGTATGGTAGGGGATTCTATGGGAGATAATCATGGTTCAAATTTTCGTTCGGGTATGAGCGGGCCTATGGGAGGAGGTGGTATGGGAAATAATTTAGGAAATAATTTAGGTGGTAACATGGGAGGTGGATTAGGTGGTAATATGAGTGGTGGTCATGGTAACAGTTTAGGTGGAGGTATAGGGAATAATTATCGTGATAGAAGTCCAATAAGTAGATCGGGACGTTTAGATGATAAGCCTTTGTCAAATTGGGAACTGAATAAATCAAGTGGGCGCGGATCATTTGGAGGATTTAGTGATCACAAAAGCCGCTTCGACCAATCCGTTCGAGATTCTGGTTCTGGCTTTGGGTAAGTTATAATGTTTTTAATATAAATTTTATATTATAATTTGAGCAATAACTGTTTAATAGAAATAAGCAATGTGGTTAAAAAAAATAAATGTTTATATGTAAAGCACATGCACTACCTTCAATTAAAATAAACAATTTTAATGGATAAATATTATTGAAAGATCAACTTTATTTAAAGAATAAAAGTTCGATTTCAATTTATTTGCATTCCATTTTTATTATGGTGAGAAATTTTGCTAATAAGTCAAATTAGGTTTGATCATTTGCGTTTTATCGATCCTAATTTATCAAGTTTTTCACATCTCTTATCTAATTCGTAATTGAAATAAATAATCATAAAATCTTTATCTTTTAATTATCACATATGGTGTATGTATATATCGTTCACGATATTCTAATGAAAATATGATTTCTTTTTGTAATTACCTTAAAAGAAAAATACAATAAGAAAAACGTGATTAATTATTGTGTGTAGTTTGACAAGTATATGGTTGATTATATTGTTGTATTCTTAAATTATAAAAGAAAAAAAAAAATTTTAAATACTGTGTTGCTTTTCCAGAGCACCTTCATCTTCGTCAAATGACTATTCTTCTATTGCGACAGAGAAGAATGATTGTGAAATTATCGTTGTCAACAAAGCTTTAACGTAATTTACATTTAATGATTGTTTATACTTTCAAACAAATAGTCACTTCATTATATCCATTAAAATATTTACAGGGAATATGCTGAAATTATTGAGTCACGTTTGAAAAAATTAGGATTAACGGTTGATTTGCTCTTCCCAAACGAAGAAGTTCCTTTATCACGAGTTCTTGGCAATATTGCAAGTCGTGGGTGTCTGTATGCGATTGTTATTGCACCAACAAATAAAGAACATCATTCTTTGACGTTAAATATCTTACACGGCCTACCACAAGGTAGATTTATAATTTTATATTTTAATTTATCCATCTTTTTATATACTTCTCTTTCTTCTTACTTCGATTAACGTTTATCAATGTTTATGTTTGTCAGTATGTATTTCGTATCTTAGTAATAATTACATTCTCTTGAGCTGTTAATGAAATATTTCATCTTCCTCTTTTAAATATAAAACTATAGAATTGTGAAATAGCATTGTTTTGTCACAATTTTGTTAGATAACCAAGCTACTAGTAGCTTAATTTGATTATTAAGCTGAACTTAACGATTTCTTATCAATTTTATTTAATATCCATAAATTAATTTTCTTGCCAATTATTCGTTCTGGAGTCTACATTGTTTTGTTTTTTTTTTTGTTTTTTTTTTGTTTGTTCTTTGTTTTTTAATTCTATTGTTCATGACGTCATGCTGTTGACGTAGCGCGAGTGTTGAGCTTTGCATTTCAAATATGGCATGAGGACGATTGGAAGAAAGAAGTGCATAGACAACGATAGATTTAGTTGAGATTTAGAAGAGCATCCATTGCGGAAATACAAGAATCCAAATACAATTGAACGATCGAGTACGGCCGCGTGTCTTTTTCTTTAAAGTTTTCTTCAATTGTTCAAATAGCATTGGTAATGGAAGATTCTTTTAATCAAAATTCTGATATTAAACGATGTGAAATTATACCGGATTATATTCGATTAAACGAATGTTTTAAATAATTTATGTTTGCCGAGATGTGTTCAATTAGAGGTTCATTTTACGTTTGATGAAACGTCGTGGGTAGAGAAAAACATAACATAAAAAAACTATCGATTTTATTTATTTATTGTTGTTGTATAACCAATTTTATCGATATTTTGTATGATAACACGTGCGTGCAATCTTAAATATAATTAAAATTTAATAGAATTGAGTTTTACCGTCAGATTTGTTGCGTGATCTACTTTTATTAATACATTACACGACACATGTAGACAACTTCTATGAAAAACAGAATGACATAAAATCTTTTTGTAGAGCACAGAAATATGCCGGTTGATGATGCTATAAGTTTAATTATGCGAGACTTCAATAACTACAAATCCGGCGGTCGATCCGTGCCAGTCAATGTTTCTTTGGCCCCTGAACGTCATCCAGATGCTATTCAAGTTCTTTTGAATATGCTAGCGGATAATCTTCAATTAACTGTGCTTCAATATGAAAGGGTCATTAAGTATCTGGAAATGAGGCGAGAAGAACAAGTGCAATTTGAATTAGGCGAAGATGCGAAAAATTTGGGACCTACGTCCTTAGTGAGTGATCCGAAGCAAGCGGAACTGCAATCGAGAATACTTAATATATTGAATAGTAATAAAAGCAGTTCGTCCGCCACACCAACGACGACTGTAACGACAGCGGCACCAAGTCCCGTCCCTCCGCCATCAGGTAAAAGAATCGTAATCGTATTTACGAAATTAATCAATCGAATACTTATGATGACAAGTGCATCTTAAAACTGTATATTCAATTTTATGTTTAACCGATGACAAAACAACGCATCGTAATTGCGACAAACAACATTATTTCGCGTCCTCTCGCGGTTTACGTTTTGATAGATGAAAACGAAAGGTAGGCATTATCGAACGCTATTTACTTATATATAAGACGGCGTTTTTATCTAAATTTTGCGCTTTTACTTTGCGCTCGAACATTTTCAAACATCAATATTTGACTGATTACTAGTCACTAGGCAATTTTACGTATTTTTTTCGTAATTAATAAATACAAATACGCCTTGACGTTTGCGTATGGAGACAGTTCACCAGTGTCTTTTAATGATTTAAAATGATAATCGTTTATAATTTCGGATTTGTGCATTTTTAATACCTGAAACTGACATATTTTTGTTTCAGAATTTTATTTCCTCTTCCAATTCATCAAAACATTAATGTTATGACATATTTCTATTTATGGCGAAAGAATGTGTTTGAGTTGAGATTTTTAGAAACATTTACAAGTTTTTCTTTACGATTTTTTATGGTTTGTAGTTAAAACTTCGAGTGAAAATAGAATTTTACAATTTTTATAATTTTTTGAAATAACAACCAACGTAAATAACGTTTTTACTCTTTTGTTTTACCTTTAATTCTATAACAATTGAAAATTGCTCACACTTAATACGATTTTGGGCTATTTATTTTTAACGTATATATAAATATGTCTATATATATATATATATATATATATATATATATATATATACATATACATATGCATGCCTGTGTATATGTGCATGCATGCAAGTAAATCTTGCGAGTTAAAAATCTTTTGTTATGTGTAAAGTAGGTTTGAAAAATAATTACATTATTATTCTTGAGAATTTTTTACTATATTAGTTTTATACAACAATTTACTAATTTTGTGTATTGTAATAATCATGATAATAATAATATTTAAATTATTTAAATGATTGTTTTACACATATACATACGTGCTTTCACTTGCTTAAACATTTATGATTAAACCTGTAATTTATTGCTTTTCTCAAAATTTCACAAGCTTCGATATTAGAAGAATAAAATAAAACTTTACTAGTAGAATAGAATGTAAATATATATATATATATATATAGCTACACTATCTATTTTAATGCCAAATTAAAAAAAATTAAATTACCTATACAAAAATTGTTATAATACTTAAGTAAATACATTTGTATAAAATACATTTTGAAAGTACTTTCAAAATTAAAAGAAATTTTATTATTTATGTTTGAACTTCTTTTTATATGAAAAACTACTATATATTAAAAGAAGCACCTTGGGTACGATATGTTTTTTTTTAATAATGATATTTAAGTGAACAAATGAAAATTGTTTAAATCACGATCGTTTATCATTCATTATGTTTGTCTAATTTGAATTCATAATGTTATTTATACCTATTATTATAAATATTATGCAATATTTTTTGTTTCATTAATATTATCATATAAATTTGTAATTTTCACATTGAATGACAATATTTTCGGACATAAGAATATCCATGTTTGCTACTATATGTATTTATACGTAAATGTTTGTAGATTATTTGACAGTTAATTTTATATGGTTTATTTAATGGCTTTTTTCAAATTTTTAAAAATTTTTGTTTATTAAAATTTATACAATCAATTAAATTGGTATACAATCTACAAAAAATGTTACGTACTTTTATATTTTTAAACTAACTTACAACAATTAATTTTTTGTAATTATTTATTACTGTATTATAAATATACTATTGAAGTTTTTGTCTTTTTTTTTTTATTTTTTGTAAATACAAATATATATATTACTTAAAAATGTTTTTATACAATCTAAAGTGAATTTTTAAGTTTTTTAATTTTTAAGACACCGTGAGATTGACTGTATTCCCTTTCTTAGCCCGATATTCATCACCATGTTTTTTATATTTTCTATTGTTAATAAATTTAAGAAGAATATTTTATCAGAACAAAGTTATCTAAAATTGTATGCAGAAAAAGAATGTTTGAATATAAATTCAAGTTTAGAGAAACTGTAGAAAATGATTGATTTTTAATTAATCTTACGAAATTTTGAAGAAAGTGATGTTATTTTTAAGTATTGTCTTACTATCGTCGAAGTAATAGATATTATTATATAACAAAGAGACCAATTGAGAGAAAACAATTGAGGATATTATTTATTTAAATATTTGATAAGTTATACATTTTTCAGTACGTAGAACCGATTACTTAAAAAAAAAAATGTTATAATATTATTATGCCTACGCACACATGTGCGCGCGCACACCCATACACACGCACACACATACGTTTAGTATGTATTTAAAATTACATATATATATATGTATGTGTGTGTGTGTGTGTGTGTGTGTGTGTGTGTGTGTGTGTGTGTGTGTAATGAATTTGAAATAGGTTGTATGCATAAAGTATTATTTAATGCGCTTGTACAGTTATTTTTTGCAATTTGCAAGGCTGTACAAAAATTTTTATTCCTAGATTCGTGGAAAGAATAATTTGTATATAAATTTACTTTGCAAATTATTAATTTGGAGGATACCTTTGTTAAGAGCGTTTGTAGAAAACAGTTATGTGCGCATACTTATTAGGAGTTCCATTCACGAGGCAGAATAATTTGCCATTTATTGTAATATTTTAAATTCATATTTAATGCTGCAAATGTACGTGCAGTCTTTTCCGTATGTTAACTCGCGAGACATTGTATTGCAGTTTTTGCGTAAAGCATTGTTCATTTATAAAAGCAACATAAGAATTTGCACAACTGCTAAATCAAGGATGTGCAGTTTTGTCACTTGCGGTTTCAGTGACATTGCAAAAGGGCTCATTTCGTTAAAAACAAATTTTCGTTCGTAAAAAAAAAAAAACATTGTAAATAGCGATAAGCCTTGTGCATTTGTGATTATTCGCAGACAGACTCTTACAATCAAGGTAAAATGAAATGTTGATCTTCTTTATTTATGCTTAATCACGTCGTCATACATTCACTACATTCACCGTCAAATCTAATCATTTAATTACATGACACTCGACTGTAAAATGTAATACTTTATAATGAAAGTAAAACAAACAAAAAAGAAAGAGAGAAAAGAGAGAGAGAGAGAGAGAGAGAGAGAGAGAGAGAAAAGAGAAAACAATGCCATCGATCAATATAATTCATTTTATTTTTAATATAAATTTTGTAATAATCTTGTTTTTAACTAATGATGTTTTGTGTCAGCAGTTTCGGCGAACGTGTCTGGTAACTCATCGGTTACGACATCAAGCGCAGTTACACCATCGCCATTATTGAACGATCCCACGGTTCAGAAGGCTCTCGATAGTCTATTGCAGGGCAATTTATTGAAAAACATTGGAGATCAACCGATTCCAACAACATCGGCAGCTCCGCTGTTCGCTGCTTTTCCTAATATAAATCGTTTCTAATAAATTCTCTCACCTGTGTATTATTCTTCGTATATTTGTAATGATGTTCATTACTTGTTTGACTTACGAGTACATATTTACCAAATAGCTATGATAGCTGTGACAATTACCTAACTCTTTTAATAAACGTCACTGTACCTCTAAACAAGCTTGAGTTTTTCTTTTAAAATCAAAGGATATTAAATGATGGTCATTGATATATTTGACAGCTACGATATTATTCGAGCATAAGCAATAAGATAATTGTATGCCCTGTATAATATTAATTAACCCTTTTAAAAAATAATAAAAATTTTGTATTTTGATAAATATTCACAAAAGAGTTGGAACTGCCAACTAATTGCCATTCAATTACAAGTAAGTATTATTTACTTTTTATAGATTTTTGTTCATTCCTTTGCGCATCGGTATCTGTTGTATCGCGTACAATTAAATTTACTCATCTAAAAAACATAACGTGTATTCATCATTATTATTATCATTATTATTATTATTACAATAATTTATTTAATTTTTGCAGTAGCAGAACGATTCGAGGATAGCGAGTGGAATTCGTAGCGACATAATAGGGGTGCAACTAAACGAGGACGTCTATGGGTTATAAATAAATTAATGATCGATGGAAGCGTGACAGACTAAGAGCTGACTTAAGCCTTATAAATATGAGATTCGTTTATAAGATGAAATTTACCTAGGTAATAGCTCTTGAGATACTGAATTGCGTGTACTATTTCTTCGCAAGGCATTTTCACTTCGGTATGAAGCAGATCGAGCACAGTTTTAACAGCCTCGATGTCGTATTTATTCGACAGCAGTCTTTGTCGGAATGGCTTCAATTTTTTAACGAGTTTCTTGTTTGTTTTTGTAATCGATCCAATGTGATTGCGCAGAATTTCGGAATACGTTGGCCAGTCGTCGATACATGCCAAGCAGTCGCAATTGAAAAAGTAATCTTGCATCATTTTACTTTGCCTCTCGGGACGAGACATGTACTGGTAACCACCACCGTAACATGTAAATATTTGATCGCCTTCTTTGATCGGCTCGAGTGCTCGAGTAATCATTGTCAAGCTATCGAAGTGTCGAAATGTATTCGGAGCACACGAATGATTCAGTAAGCTGGCCGTTACATATAAGCCCGACCCAACTTTAATGCCCGGCTCCAGTTGAATCTGAAAAAATAATTGTTTCTTACTCATCCTCGTATTGAATAAAAATTCACGGTCACGCGCTCTTTCTATATCAATATATTGAACACTGCAAAATAAAAATAGAAGGAAAGCATCAAGCTAACGGAGCTGAGAGAGAGAGAGAGAGAGAGAGAGAGAGAGCGCACACATAATGATAAATGATACGAACGGAAAATGAATTGGATGACACAATGAGGCAATTGCGAAATACAAGTGTTCCGCAAAATTTCACATCACTCTGCTCGGCAAGATGCTCCAATTCATCGAATGCATATTTTTTGCCGAAAAACTCGCTTTCCGTAGCGAGAAGAACAGTCGCCAATGCCGATATACAGGCGAATGCACTTATATCTGGGAAAGGCCGTGTGGTTAAGTTCGTTGCAAGACTTAGCGCACATCTGGCACTACTACCATCGAACATCATCTGATCATTGGTGAATCCAGCGGTTCTCTTATCTTTAAGTAAAATAAATATATCTTGTGGCTATTTGTAATATCACATGTATGAAATTATTATAAGTATTAAAAGTATGTTTAATAATGCACCTGAATTTTGTTCTGCAACTTGTATGTCTTTGCGTAATTCATCAATAGCACTGCCATTTTTCGTAGCAATTATCAATAGTCTTATGATTTTTGTTAACATTCTAATTTTGTCAGTATCAACGTTGAATAATTTAGACATTACGGCATGAATCGGGCATTCGATTCTATGAGCCATTTTCCAAGCTGATGTTTTACAGATTTCCGAACAATATTGTGCAATGGGACACTTTGGACAGGATATTAAATTATAGCTACGCGCAAGACAGTGGTGACAGTGTGTGTAGTGTCTGGTGTTAAAAAGTAAAATAAACATATGAAAAAGTTCGTAAACAAAGATAATTATAAGTATTTTTATTTAGAATTTTGTAAATAATGTTTTATTTGGTTGAATTTGAAAGTTTAAGCTGTGAAATACTTTATTAACTTATCCTTTCATTACCTTTCATTACGTTTCTTTCTCTCCCTATTAAATAATACCATTTATTTTGAAAATATTGTTTATTATTGTTTATTACGCATCGAAAAAAAAAAATTCCTACTGAATTTCAAATCGAGCTGAATCGTCGTCGATGGGCTATAAAAAAAAAAAAAAAACAAATAAAAAAATAAAATTGTTACGTGCTTACGTGATCTTATGAATGCAAAATTAATTTGCTTGGCAGCGAAAACTTTGAAATTTACCAATATTTCTTGTATCACTTAACTTACAAATAAGCTTATTTTTACCGAAAATAATTACTTTTGTATCAATTGGTTGCCTCCGTCATTTTATTAAATCGCATTCCTTACACAAATCATTAGTAATAATTTTATTATAAATAGACACCGAATTTTATCCTCACCTACTATTAATAAAATTAAAAATTTTATATTTAAAAATATTAATGAACGATTAACTTAATTACAAAAACAAAATAAATAAAATAGCGTAGTTACAAAGCTTTATTGTTTATACGAAAGTATCTATTTTGTTGGCGGTTATCCTGCGTATCTTTATAAATTCAACGATGCAAAAAGCAATTGTATATATATATATATATATATATATTAAAAAATTCCATAAAACTCGGCACAATCTGAAATACTTACTTTTCCGTATAAATAATATAAGCGAATGGATTTTCTTTCAGAATAATACTTCCAGGCTTGAACGATCTCGTAGCAACTAAATGTCTTCCGTATTTTTTAGAGTAAGCGATTCGCACCCCTTTGCTAAGGGCTGGAGCTTCGTCGCTTGTTTCGTATGCGAGACTCGGCTCGCTTTCCTCGGCCAAATACCTTGGCGAACTCTCTGGAATTATGAGCATAAGTTCCTCAAGGTCCTCTTTCGTACAGCATCCAACATTTCCCTTCGATGCACCGTTCTCGTTAATAAATTCTTTAATCATCGACAAGTTCATCTTATTTTGCGAGACATTGTTTTTATTACTTTGCAGGAGCGCGGCCGAGTGCTTTGACAATGGTAAGTCATTCATGTTTTGATCTTTGATTTGGTGAGCTTGTTGTAAGCCATGTATAGCCTTCTCGGCCCGCTCCTTTAATTTACTCTTTTTGTCTTCAGGGTAGCCGTGGGCCAAAGCTGTGTCGATGTCAATCAAGCATTCCCGATATAATTGCTTGCGATAAAGAGCTGCCGAACGATTTGCTAAAGCTACGGCCATGGCTTCTTTGCTGCTCGCGTATGCGAGGCTTTTTGAGTACTTTTCAATAGCGTCGTCGTCGTCGCCCATCACGAAGTATTGGTTTCCTGAAATATGCGACACGGACGATCAAAAGTTTTGCCGAGCTTAGAGTTTTACGTAGAATTGAATTGGTCGTGAGTAAAATACAAATATCATTATTACTTGACTGTTAGGTATAATTATTGGATGCTGTTAAATCGGCGTCCATACGGTATTTACGTGCTATCGTTGATAATAAATTTTGTTCACAGATTCAAGCCTTTTAATCGTTTATTTGAAAATTTTTATAATATTTTGGTGGCATTTGCTTGTATTTGCATGTATTTGTAAAATGAGTTAAAGGAGAAAACAAAAGATTTTTGTTATTTTATTCCGTGCTAATTTGATGCAAGGTATATATATATATATATATATATTAAAAAATTCCATAAAACTCGGCACAATCTGAAATACTTACTTTTCCGTATAAATAATATAAGCGAATGGATTTTCTTTCAGAATAATACTTCCAGGCTTCGAGCAATGCTACGGATAATCGAAAAAAATTAAATATACGTAAGTTGCACACGCACAGATAAATTATAATGCAAAATTTTGATCTGCTCACCGATATTTCCAACGAATAATTTACCCTTAACGATACCCTCAACGTTACCCTTAACAATCGCTTTCTTTTAAATTCGCAATTTCATTGTAATCCTTCACATTAAAAATCTTACACATAAATATTTAATTTCAATAATAATCTTAATTGTTTGAAATATTCTAGTGGCAAAACTATACGCCCTCCTCGGCACTTGGTAATGTACTTCGTAATAACGATCTGCAATTGGTATTATTTGTGGGACGTAGATTGGTCGGCCACGCCAGGAAGAAAGGTAAGTAACAATTAAGAAATATCCGACAAAACGTGTTCTCATTGTAAATCATTAAATAAAAATTTTAACTGTCAAATCTGTGTTAGCTTGTCTACATTATTTATTTAATCGCATTCCCTTGATTCATAAAATTATTCTACTTTTGTTATTGTTATTTTTATTGCTACTGTAAATTTATTATACAAATAGTAATTATGGTTTTTTGTTCTTATTTTATTTATTTATTTATTTTTTTTTTTTTTGTTCACTTTCGTAAGTTACGCAATAAGGTTAATTAATAGAAATAATTACTTTTTAACTTTTTCATAGACGACTACATTTCGCGAAACTATTTCGGGATTTTATAATTAATCTGGGAGACATGTTTCTTTATAATGTAAGTTAACTTAATTAAATTAAATTCATATGGTTTATCCGAATGGATCTTGTTCATTATCTAATTTTGTAAAAACAACTTCATTTTAAAGTAATTTAAACCATAATGTTGTTATTGATTTATTGATTAAAATTAATAAACTAATGTCTCTTTAACTTCAAATTTATTAGACTTATTAATAATAATGAAAGGCGACTCGATCATGAATTTATTATTATTTTGAAACGAATTTATTATTCTGTGAATATTATAAATTTATTATTATTTTATTATTTAAAATAATGAAACGAAAAATACGATTATCAATAATGCAAAAGAAGGAGTAGCGAATAAATTAAAACATGGCTATTTATTTAATACGTAACAATTTATAGGATTTATTATGTCATACTAATAAGCAACGATATCTGACATTTTTCTTAAGAAAAATTAATAAAAATGCAATTATTATAACTATTATTATTATTATTATTATTATTATTATTATTATTATTATTATTATTATTATTATTATTATTATTATTATTATTAACGAACGAATAAGTAACAGATTTATTAATATGACGTATATTGACCATAAAATGATATAAAATATTATGAGCTCATTGATTGTGTACAAATAAATTTAGGATTGATTAATTTTTTAAATTTTGATAAATTTAATTTAGATACGGTTAAAAATCATATTAATAGTACGGCAAATACAATTTTAAATATTACAAATGAAGTGTATTTTAAAATCTACATATTAACTAGTAAATTATTTGTTTTACGATTCTTTCCCATTTTTGTATTTTAAATTATGAAAGTATTTAGACGAATTACTTCGTGCATTGAATTAAACTCTATAGAATCAAATGCAGTAGTTTGAAATAATTTTTTAAATATATATCTTTTAATGTAAATTAATTTTTAAGAATGCGTATCCTTTGATGTAAATTAATTTCAATACTCGGGTTTTCTTTGTAAATTCTTTGTAAAAAAAAGCTTTTCTCCTATTCGGGATGCTCATACTAACAAATAAAAATACTTCTTCAAAATAATTCATTTAAAAATTATATAATTTTCATTAATAGGCCAAACAAGGAAAATATAAAACTTAAAAGCAAGCCGTTTTAGTTATATATTTACCTTCATCCCTATAATGCTTAGCATCTTCATCATTCTTCATATCGGCAATCAAATTGGGCAATTTTGATTTTGCCATATTATTTAAAACATGACCAATCAATAGCTCGCATTCTTTTTGCAAACCATAGCCACTGTGTGAATCATTTTTTTTGATTGCTAAAATTAATTCCTTAATTTTAGCTAAATCCATTTTGGCGAGCTTTTACACTAAAACTTTAACTTAGAAATTAATTAAAATAATAATAATAATAATAATAACAATAATAATAAGAAAACATTTAGCACGTTAATGCACATTGTTTAATCCATTTTTTTAATTATATAATATTAAAGCACTAACTAATTATACACAATTGTATTATATTTTTACTTAATTAAATTCGCGTCTATTTAAGGCAAAATAATGCTTAATTAAAGAATAATTACTTTGTATAATGCTAATGGAAATAGCAAATAATCTGCCGTATATGCTACAACTGTCAAGTGCTATGTTGCGATTCTGTGTAATTTGTATACTAAATTAACTAACGCTATTGATGCACTAAGAAGTCTAAAGCAACGAGGTGAGACTAAAATTACCACAACGTATAAGATGGAAAGGGTTCACGCAATACTTTCATCTATGTGTATTGTGTAGTACAAACTTTCTCTAATAAACACAATATTTCACGCTCGTTTTACAAACAAATTTGGTATGCTTATTTAAGTTAGCTCTCGTAAAAAATAATATTTTTATCAATTGATATTTATTATCTTGAGAAATATATTTTTAATGATTATATAATCATTGTTGGTTAATTACATATTACCATTTAAATTTTGTGTGTGCGTGTGCGTGTGCGTGTGCGTGTGTGTGTGTGCGCGCTCGCGAGTGTACGCATTTGTTTTGGATAGTATGAAATTTCATGATATTTTATTTCTTCAAAAGTGCCTACAATATCATTTTAATATCTTTAAAGATTTACATTACTTCGGTACTTATATATTTTCCAAAGGGTATAGAAAAATTTTATTTCACGTTTTACTTTCTATACTTAATTTACTAAGTTCCTCTACATTCAATTTCATGAGCTCTATCTGTATTTAGATAAATGCATAAAAATTATTTTGTCTTATACTGTTGCTATATTTCATTTATAATGCTTATACTCCAAGCTTCATTAGCCAATTATTTATAATAATAAGCAATGTTCACAATACCTATTACTTTTATTTTATTAATTTGTTTTAAACAGTAACTTAAAATGTATTATGATGTATATTTCTTTGCTGTTATACAGTATTATAAATTATTACATCGAATGTATAAATTATAAATTTTTTATTATTTTTTTATTTCTTGATATGTTAATTATATGGCAATATTGTGTAGAATTTTTTTTCTTCTTTTTTCTTTTTTTATGTAAATTTAATAAAAAAGGAGCATTGTCATATTTATCAGTTTTCTTATAATTATATTAATATTTAAAGGCTTTTGAAGAAAAGAAATTTTTTTAGTATATATTAGTATATATTATAGAAATATTCTAATAGGATTTTAGTTAACAATATAGCAGTTTTCAAAATTGTTGTGTATTGTACTATTGATTATTATAATTGTAAATTAATTTTTTTTTTATACAATGTCGTATTTAAAGATTCGTAATTCCTATATATATATATATATATATATATAAAAAAAAAAAAAAAAAAAAAAAAAAAAAAAAAAAAAAAAAAAAAAAAAAATCTAAAAAATAAGAAAGAACGTATATATTATTGAATTTCCAATGAGTTTTACCATTTTATGTATTCCCACTTTAGAATTTTTTGAATTGTAATAACTGAATGTTTGAATGTTGATTATTGTTGTATCCAAAGTACATTTAATAATTCGAGTAATTTTAAGATTTTAATATGGTGTCCAAGTTATAATTAAAATGTCATAATTAGCAAATACGCTACGATAGAAATTACGTGAATGTAAAAGTGTAAAACATAAAAAGAAATGTGAAATGTCTGTAAAATTTTTTAGCTTTAATCAAGCTTCATTCAAAGTGTTCGTTTTAATTATTTACAAGCACATTAAATAGAGTCAGTTTAAAATCTAATGAGACAACAATTTATAACATATTTATAATCAATGATTTTTCTCTACTGTTTAAATAACGGATAAACTTTATCAGGATTTAATGAGAATTTATAATAATAATTCAAAGAAAATATGAAATTACAGGGTCGAGCTCTATTAATATATCGATTCAAATAAAATGAATGTATACGAAAGTAATATAGATGTATTTCCAGTAACTATTTTGTCCAGTCGTCAAGTCACATATTTTATCTGTTATAGACGGTCGACGAGAAAATAAAGAAATTGAAACTCAGTCTTCCTCAATAACAGTTTTATCGCTTTTGTTTAAAGTTAAGAGTTTGTACTTACGAATATGAAACAATGATGCGTATGTGTCTTATGTTTCGCAACTTTGATTTCCCGATCGCCGATTATACTTTCTTCAATTATTAAATCAGCATAATAGTATAATTTAAAAAATATCAAGTCACTATAAAGCTAGTAGTTTCAGGGAAATTTCGAGCGAGTTTATTTCTCATAAGTATAACATTATATTAAAGCAGAAATACTAAATATTTTATAAAAATGGTATATGTAAAGATTTTTTTTTTTTTTTTTTTTTTTTTTTTTTTTTTTTTTTTTTTTATTAATTTTATTGAAAAACAATTGTTATATTTTAAGGCGTTGCTAACGACAGATAAATATATAAATTGCATTATTACAGTAAGGATGGATTGTAATTTGGAAATTAAATTAACATTGAATCAGAATCGAAAAAGATATTTTTATTTAACAGTATTCACATAATATTACAAAAATGTACACATTATATTTTAATACAATGGCATGTTGTACATATGTAAGATTGTTTTATTCTAAGAGTGTATGATAGATTTGATAGGCAATTTAAGATAATTTTGTAAAACCTTAGAACTGTCGGGAAATTCAAAAAAAAAAAGTTAAAATAAAACTAAATAGTCCATCGAACCTTTAAAAATTAAAAATGTAAAAATGCTTCAACAATAAAATGTTAAATCTAGTATTTTTTCAGATATTTGAAATTTCAAATGTTAAAATTTGTGTAATAAAGTGTATATACGCTTAGATAAATAAAACATATTTATTTTGTAAAATAAGATGTGTTTTTGAAGATTGAATGTGAGAAAGAAGATATGACGATAAATAAAAATATATCAATAATAGCAATTCATTATATTGAAATTTGTTCATCTAATAATAAACTTTGTTTGCTTAAATAATATTTATCAGAAGTACATATTGGAATACATCACATAAGTATCAGTGAACAAGTACACAATTAAAATCAATAAGTATGAAAATGCAGATCAATGTATGTAGAGTATGGGGTTTCATTCGTGATGAGTGAGTAAAGTCGACGTACAATTATCATACAGGATTGAAAAATTATTCTATTTATATAAACATAAGCTATTTACAATTATAAAAATTTTGTTTAACTAATTGCTTAATATATTCGTCAAATCGATAGTTAAAATAAGATCTTATTCTTATGTTATATCGAAAAATTCATGATTAATTCATATGTATCTTAAAAGTTCAGTCATTAAGTCATAATTTTATTTTTGCTTGCACACGTGCTGCAGCGCATTAAGAGCGTAAAAATTCTTACGATCGATTAATTAAAATATATATTCTTTTTCTTTGGATTAGAAATATATAGACTTTTGTTTTTTACACTGTGACATCAGACACACAATTCAAATGGTTCCCCTCGAACCACACACGATTTATCCTCCACTTTCTTATTTTTACAATCCCCCGTTTTATATTCTCACTCTTGCCCCCACCCCACCCCACCGCCCCTTTTTGTTAATTTGCTCAATTTTCCCTTTTCCCTTTTCCATTGAATAGTTACTGCTTAACCTCCAATATTTTTATGCAAAGATTAATCTTGCAAAAAAAGATTGATACCCATGCATACATACATACATACGTGCATATGCAGACGTAAGCGCGCGCGCGCGCGCGCACACACGCACACGCACGCACGCACGCACACACACACACACATTTAAAATTATATGCTTAAACTTCATTAGATAATATATAACGTATTTTGTTCACATATATTTGTATTTAGTGAGAAATTAAATTAGTTGTTTTTCAAATAGTGCTAGGAAGTCAGCATCGTTTATTTTTTCTGAAGCCTCGCAATGACATTTCAGTACTTAGCACAAACATTTACAACAAAGATTTATCACTAAGGCGGCGTTCATTCATTATTGCTTATGAAAACAGTTACATTAGGTACATTTACAACAAACAAACGCCAGAAGGAAGAGTATTACTAGAATAGAATTTCTTTATGATACTTTACGAAACTTAAGTAACATGTAGAAATTTGGACTGGCTATTAAAGATTACCAGTTTCTTACTCTAATATCATCAAATAGGTCTTCTGAGACGTCTTCTGTGCACGATTTGAGTATTTAGTCAATACTCCAACAACTTTTTTTAAAACTATAAAATACTGAAGTATAAATGATAATTTAAAACCTTTTCAGTTTACATATTGCAAATGTTCGATAATAAATTCCAGTTTTCTGTATTATATAATTATTTAGTACAGGAGCACATACGCAATAAAAATATAGTCACTCGATGCTAATTTGTGCGTCTTAAAAAAAAATTCAAGCAGCATACCACAGCTTTATCGAAATTTACTAATATTATATCGTTTATAAAAATTTGTTTGTCTATGCATCGTTTATTGTTTAATATATAGAACGATGCTCAGGGAATTAGGTTCATTGCCTATTTAGGTAAGACCCAGCCCTACCTTGTAGATGAAAATATATTTATTGTACCACTCGTAGTGCGTTTTCTCACAAGACGTGCCGCAACTATAAATATCCATTAATAAATACAAAATCTGGTTAATTCTTTTGCAAAATAATAAATATTTAATTATTATTTATATTTGAGTGTCATTACCATTTGCGTCTTGAGGTGTTAGAGGCTTATCTATAACTTTTTGAAAAACGCTCATCCACTGAGCTCTGTCATCTTCATTTTGAGCGGAGAGAAGATAACTTCGGTCAGGTGTTTCAAGGGTAAATGAAAATCCTTGGTCTCGAGCACCCGGAGGAACACCCATTTTAACAGCATAACCCTCTGAAGTATTTCCCAAAAATATTTCTCCCTTGGGATGGGCATCCTGAAAAAATTATATTCATTATATTGCGCAACGTTTTTAAGAATTTTTAAACTATATTTAATAATAATTTTATTAACAAAAGCCATTTAGTTTATGATTATTGGCGTTTTCAAATTTTTAAAAACTTTTATAATATAAAGGCATCGATATGTCAAAGTGAAAGTCATAAACTTTAATAAGGATTTTATTTCTTATACATTTGCCGATTTAATGAATTTTATTTATTGATATTGATATTGATATGGCCTCGCTCTAATTATTAACCATTGCAATATTAATAAATTATAATACGCAAAGAAAAATACATTTAATAATTTGCCTTACGTTGAACTTACCATAGGATCATCATGATACATCAGTTTACGACCATCTAAAGTAAACCATCTTTTTTTATATGCATCCGAATGTCTGGGTCCTGTTTTCCATAAAAATCCTTCTCGAGGAAAGTCTTTAGTTAACTGACCGAGTAATTCAGATTCGGTAGCGCCAGGATAAGCTACTTGCAAACGGTTTAGTTTTGCGCATCTAATAGCCAAATACCAGTTTGTAATTACTTCAGAATCTTCATGATAGACATAAATATGTCGCGTTGTCCCATCTTTCATAAATGAAATTTGCAGACTATTTTGATTACCCGTTTTAGGGGGAGCAAATGATACGTTTAATTCCGATATCCGCAATACTGCTTTAGGTTCCTAGAAATATAATTTTACTCTATGACAAGTCGTCGAGTGAAATTACAGATTTTATGTAAATTAAACTCTATAGAAGTATTTACCTTATTTTCTTTAACATAATACTTTAAGGTATCGTCTGCCTCGCTTAATACAAACTTTCTTGGATGATATCTGGCGTCTTCTTTGCCCCGTTTCATTAAGAAACCCTCCATGAATCCCGACACATAGTGATTTTGTCTTTCAGGATGACAAAACTCCTCTCTTTCGTATTTCGCTCTTATCCATTGTTCTACCAATACCCTGAAAACATTGTGTCGTATAATAATTTTCTTCAACATTATGTAACGACAAGAATCTTATTTTTCATTTACTGGGGCGAATCATGATACGGTCTTCTATAACAAGGTGGAACTCTTTCTTCATAATGTAGTCTTGCCGCTGCATTTCCCACTTCGCGCACTCGATTTACTTGAGAATCTTCCCATTTGTCAAGTTTAAGATGCTTAACTTTTGATATATGTGCCCCCATCGAGCGATGTACACCAGCGCATCTTGTGCAAACGAATATTCCTATATTGTAAGATGCCCATTCCGGATCTAAATAATTACATAACATTTAAAGAAAAATGTAACATCAATGGATAAAGCACGTCGACATTTTGTCGTGTTTATAAAAAAATTTTACACAGTAGGAAGAATGAATCATCAAGGAAAATCCCATGATAAAGCCATGCAATGCTATTTACTTTGTACAATAAAAATATTGGTAATTTTGATTACATAAAGCCTCGTAGAAAGTGTAAGACAAAACATTTTTCAAAAATAAGAATTGGCCCCACTACGCCCATAACAAGGCAATTGTCAACAAATAACATTCTAAGAATAAGTGAGAATGCATCCAATGTATCCATCATAGGTTGACGGGCCATCAATAAATTAATTGGCATAACGATAATCGTGCGAATGAGAAACAAATATTACAGACGAACGACGAACATCCACTTACTTTTTGCTACACAATCGGCACACACGTTATTTCCAGGCTTTTTCAAAAGTTCTACCAGCAGCTTCTCGTTAGCATCCGCCATCTTGAAACACTCGACGTCAAGTTAAGTTGCCGTAACGTACGCACGCACGCACGCACGCACGCACGCACGCACGCACGCACATTACTGCGACGATTACACTACGAGGAGCCTCGGCTCACTCGGAGGTCTCATTTCATTCCTGACTATGCACAATGCACACTTAGCAGCATGTATGCCTCGTTATAAGTACGAGGGGAGAGTGAGATAACTCGCTGTACCGTCGGACAGTCGAATAATTATCGGAAGTCGAATCGGCCCGGTGAACGCGCGACTCCTTTTCGGCATCGGCCTTTCAATAATTTATCTACA